TCTCTTAATAAAGAAAATGTAAAATAAAGAAATGGGTGAGTGGTTATTTCTAACTAATTTGTATTATTTACATTTATGTTCACATAAGACAAAATTCATGCTTAAACTATAATAAAATGAAGTACCACATTTGACACCCAATTTATTTTTATACTATCTTATAATGGCATGTTGTCTCATGGCATTATTTTGATTTGTCAGTCAAGCATGAGGGTAACACATGGCATTGTGGCCAAGCGTAGGCGGATCAATGCGGCCATTAGTGCTATTTTGACATATCTTGTGGTGTCATCGTCAAACTGTATATTGAATCTATGAGTCGAAGGGTTCGGAAGGTCAGAAGCCTAGGGAAGGGAGTGTTTCTTAGCACCGTATTTAGTAGTGAGGCATCCTGTTTATCTCAAATTAGGATGAAAAAACCATGTTTTGATTCCCTCTATCATTTACTTGTGACACATAGTGGACTTCGGCCAACCATTAACACGTCTGTTGAAGAGCAAGTTGCAAAAGGCTAGGCTGGTTCCTTCCCTTCAGGACGGGTGATCCATTAGAGTGTAGCCTTTTGCACGCTATAGGGCATAATGAAAGGAATAGTGTCATACATGTTACCTTCGGGCTTTTACAAGAGACCGTAAGCCGATATTTCCACAAAGTCTTGCGCGCTGTACTTAAATTGTACCTTTTGTTGGTTATACAACCAACTGAAAAACAAGTACCCCCGGAGATTAGGAATGATTCTCAGTTTATGCCATATTTTAAGGTATGTAATAGATGTTTACACTTTTTTCCTTAAAACCTCCCTAAACCATGAAATTAACATAATTCAGTTAAACGTAGGACTGTATAAGTGCAATTGATGGGGCTCATATCCCATGCAAAGTGCTTGTTGAGGAGCAAGGCAAGTTTCGTGGTAGAAAGGGAAAAATAACACAAAATGTAATAGTTGCAGTGACATTTGATTTAAAATTCACTTATGTATTGGTTGGGTGGGAGGGTCCGGCCATTGATGCGACAGTCCTCTATGATTCCCTAAGAAGGGAATGCAAATTCCAAGTCCCAGAAGGTAACTTAAATTGATACTTCATCCTTTCTAATACTCGAATAGTGGACTCCATTGTCTTAACTAACTGCTTGTTACCAATGATCATTCAACGAAATATAGGATAATACTACTTAGTAGATGCTGGATATAGAAACATGCCAGGCTTCCTAGCACCTTATCGAGGCACCAGATACCACCTCAATGAGATATAAGGACAGTTGCCAGAGTCCCCTAGGGAGATTTTCAACCATAGACATTCATCATTGAGAAATGCAGTGGAACATGCTTTCAGTGTTCTGAAGAAGCGTTGGGCAATCCTTGATGCAGCACAACATTTTGACTTTGACACGTGGGTCAAGATTGTTATAGCTTGTTGTGTGCTTCACAACCATATCATGGGAGTTGATCCATATGACCAGTACACCCGATAAGGGCTCCGTGAGGTAGACAGGCAAAATACATTCGGTGGGGATGAATTTGTGGATGAAAGCGCCAATGCAAATTCTCTTGCACCAAGGCTATAAAGAAATGAACTAGCAAGGTGGTCCACATTTAGGGACCAAATTGGGTCAGACATGTTCCGGCACTAGAGGAGATTGTGAAGATGATTAGGAGTTGTAGTATTTGGATTAATTACTCATCATCATTTTTAGAACCAATTTGTTTTAATTGTAGTTCTTATAATGTTTAAAACATCCAAGTTATTTGTTTTATTAGATATTCGTGACTTAGTATAGACGGTTTGATATATCAACAATATTGTTTAATCACTTTATTTCTATATTGTACATGTTTACTTTTATGTTGTCGATTACTAGAGGTATTTTCAATATTTCTTTATGATAGTGTATGTACATGTTGCTGAAGTTTTGATCATGGTTTTCAAAAACGGACCAGATCAGATGGTCGGACCAGAAAAACCGAGAATCAATTAGACCGGTTCCATTTTTCCCTAAAATTGGATTTTTGCCAAAAAAACGTTGATTTGATCAACAAACCACTGACCTAGGTGGTTGAACTGTTCGAACTGTTTGACCCGGGAACCAGACCCTTGACCGATTCGTTGCTCGGGTTGGTTTTAAAACCTTGGTCTTGATAGTTAGTACACCTTATAAAATGTGAACCAATAAAAATAGACTATATGACATCTTTAATATGGTTAATTGTATTCTCAAATTAATGTATTGCAAAAATTCGTGTCAATGCATGGTAGTTGGGCTCTTGATTTTTTCATAAAAAATTGTTGTATTTTCACATGAACCAAATTGCATAGGCATAGGCAGCACAGATTCCGTTTCTAGTTGTCCAAGTGAAGAAGAGGGTATAAAAACATTACATTTATGCTCAAAGATTTGTTCACCCATAATTTTACCTAATCTCTATCTGCATAAAATGAGAATATAAGCTAGAAATATCACTGTTGATCTCTTATTTTACCATTTGAGTTAAAATTACAATACTATCTAATCTAGGAATACTTATCTTGAACATTTTGAGATACTAGTATATGTGCATGTGCATTTGCACATGGCAGTATCTCTAAGATAAAACTATTTATAATTTATGGGCAATTTCTGAACTGTTATAATTGGGCAGTTTCTAAACGATTATAAGTGAACAGTTTTTGAAATGAGAGTAAAGGACATATATATCCTCTTTATGCCCGTTGTATGCTTAAAAGGGGGTAGAAAATGTCCAATGAAAATTCCAGAAAGAAGGGGCATTCACTAGGTAGTATAAATAGATGTTAAGATACATGAGTTTTCTACTTCACTGCTCATGTCAAGCCAAACCCTTCATGGGCCAAAATAGTGCTGATCCATTTATTTAATAATGGGCCTAATGGCCAAGGTACAGGCAATGGGAGTATGTTTACACTTGACAGGAATAACATAAAAAAGACGGGCCTAAAAATTCATGGTGAAGGTCCAGTCCAGTAATAGCATTCTAGTATCTCTCTTCATTAGGTAATTACAAACTACCTAATGAAGAGATTTTTAAACTGCACTCCACCTATAACACCCATATCTGCCTATGAATTGGCATCAATTACGGTGGAACAAAGATTTCTAGAGTGGACTGAACAATAAAAACCCCTAAAATTACAAACTACATAATGAAGAGATTTTTAAACTGCACTCCACCTATAACACCCATATCTGCTTATGAATTGGCATCAATTCCAAACTAGTACTTACCCCCAACTGTACAGTGGAATTAAGATTTCTAGAGTGGACTGAACAATAAACACCCCTAAAATTACAAATCTTAAGGCTATGTTTGGTTTGAAGGAAAAGGTAGGGAAAGGTTTGTAAAGGTTTTCCTACCTTTTCCTACAGTTTCCTTTGAAACAAACACAGCCTAAAAAAGGACTTGAAAAGGAAGGAGAGGATTGTTTGCACCATCCCTTGATAGTAAACACTAAATATGTAAGACACACTACCAAAAGATGCTTGATAGTATGGCCGTGTATATAGCTCAGGAGCTAAATAGACTGGGCCACAGATTGGGATATAAAAAAGATAGGGTGGGCCTAAACCTTTCGGGCTGAGGACATTGGGCTAACATTGTTTTGGGGCAACCAGAGATCAAGATGTTCTTGGCTAAAAAATGGAGTTGCAACCAAATTACAGAGAAAGGAAAAACAAATTCTCAGTGGTTGAAAAAATAAACAAGGTGAATAGATGAGATATCCAAATCTATCAATTATTATTATGGGATTCTCTTATGGCCCACTCAACAAGAAAGTATCAATGAGCAAGGAATCGTTTTTTACATGATCGGAGCAGGGTGTAAATGTGATAATTTAATACCTTAACTTTCAAAATGTGCCAATCTAGTATCTGTCCTTAACTAGTTATTTAAGTGGCATTTAAAAAGACACAAATGCCCTTCGAATGTCATCTAATTCTCTTTATCAACCATCTAAATGTTGATAAAAAATGAACAGTCCTAAATCATTGCCTTTTCTATTTAAAAAAGTTGGATCACGTATTAATGGGGATTGTAGTGATCCCAACTTTCTTAAATAGAAGAGGCAATGCTTTGAGACTGTTCATTTTTTATCAATGTCTATATGATTAATAAATAGAATTAGATGACACTCAAAAGACATTTATGTCTTTTCAAATGCGACTTAACGATTGGTTAATGACAGGTACTAGATTAGCACGTTTTAAAAGTTCAGATACAGAATTTAGCGTTTTAAAGTATGGGGACCAAAATGGCAGTAGGCCCAAAGTATAGGATACTAATGGGGAATTTACACAAAATACATAGTTTTGCCGTCTACATATTTGTATTTGTACTCCTTCCAAGCTGAGCCATCATATAAAAAACACAGTCCAAATTGTTGATATGGATAACTGGAAATCTAGAAGGTAAGAAAGCCCCATTGATCTTTCTCAACAATAGAAAGTATGAACCCAGCTAACTGAATTACTAAAAATCAACAAATATGGGTTGCAGTATTCTTGTTTAAAGTTCAAACCAAGTTCCCCATTTAGGATCAAATTAATCTCCCAACCCCCTCTCCCTCAAGTTGATCACTTGATCATAGCCATTATCAGTTTCGAAACATGGAACCAGCAGGAGAATGAAGCATTAAAAAGAAATTTTCTTGTAAAATATTTTCGTGAGAGAGAAACAGGGAGAGGCCTAGAGTAAGAGGGAGAGAGAGAGAGAGAAAGGAAGATAGAATCATGTTAACAAAGTGATCTATACATCGAACAATTATTTTTCACCAACCACTGTGGCCATAAAACAAAGGAAAATATTTTCAGGAAGGGTTCTTCTTTCTCTCTCTACACAGCACACAGTGATCGATGCTTGCAGTGATTCAAAAACAACTTCATGCTTTCAGGCACAGATCATATAATTGAAAAAGCATTGCCTCATACAGTTCTAGGCATTAAAACCGGCATTTTACAAAAAAAATGACATTTGAGAATGAAACGGACTACGCACCACTTATACACGACAGAAAACTATTACTTCTGAAGCGCACCAGCTCCTTAGAAGAACCGGGCCTTTTCTCCTTGTTGGGCGAATGCAATCCGCCGGAAAAATCTTCGACGGATCTGCATCGTCGGTGATCAGCTGGGTGTTCTACATGAAGTACTCCTGCCATCCTCTCCGGCGGTGGCCCCAAATGAGCGTTCCCGTTGGTGGGGATGAGTTCGGCACATCTGCTGTAATTAGTCTCCAAGCTTTGGGGCTTCCCCAAAGTAATACACTCGTATCTCCGGCGACTCTTGGACCTTTTGATTGTCCTGTAAACATAAGGGATCAGGCCTTCTGCCATTGCTTTTTCTCGGTGCAGAGACTTGGAAAGTCCTAGCTAGATGGTTGGTGGAGATCCACTGAATTGTACTTCTTTTAAATTGAGCAGGGGAATTCTTTTAGCACGCCATTCTTGACTTGGAGCTCAGGAAATCGTATTCAAATCTCGTTATATTTCTGACTATTGCCGAAACCTTTCCTAAAATTTATTGCAATCACCTGCCTTGAATTTTTCAACACACTTTTCAAGTAGACCCCATGTGTTAGAATTCTTCTAAAAAAAGACACAACAATGTCTAAAATACCCATACAATTATTATTGAGGCTGGTTTGCATAGGAAAAACAATATAAACTTTATAGCTAATTAAAAAGGTAGAGAATTTAAAGTTGTAGTTTTACTTTTAGGAGATTGATATGAAAAGCAAATTTGAAAAATAGATCAATTTCAAAAAAATGAGATTGGAAGGATTTGGAATGTGATCAATGAAATAATATCAAAATGGATGGCCACACGCCTCGAGCCGATTTTGCAAGAGCTGATCTCACCTTTCCAATCAAGATTTTTCAAAGGAAGACAAATCTCAAATAGTATTCTTTTGGTTAGAGAAATTCTTCACAAAATGAAACAACAAAAAAAGAAAAAAAAACGTTAGGGTTTCATAGCTCTCAAACTAGACATGTCCAAAGCATTCGACTGGATGGGCTAGTCTTTCCTATACCCTGTTCTTTAGAAGATAGAGTTTCCAACCAAACGGTGTATACCTTTTCTATCAAATTGGCTGGGGAATCATATGACCACTTCAAATTGAATCAGGGAGTCAAACAAGGTGATCCCATTTCTCCTTACCTTTTTATCATAGGTATGGAAGTTTTCACACAAATGCTATGCCAAGCCTCCACAGCCAAGCAATTTGAAGGAGTGAAAATTAGTTGGAATAATTCCCCCATCACTCACCTTCTATTTGTAGATGATTGTATCATCTTCTATAAAGCAGAGGTAACTCAGGTTAAAATCTTGCAGTCTTTCGAAACCATATCTGGTCAAAAAATAAATTACTCCAAGTCAAGCCTTTTTTTTAATAGGATTGTATCCTGACACTATATGAAATTCTTCTCTCATATGCTCCATGTAAAGAAATCCCTACTTGGATCCAAATATCTTGGCATTCAAGTTGGCACAAATATCTGTCTCTGTGGCTCTCATAAGGAGGTCATTGATAGGGTGTAGTCGAAAATTAGTACTTGGAGCTCTAAGTTGTTATCACAAGCGGGTATAACCACTGTAGTAAAATCAATTATGCAAGCAATGCCTGCATACTCCATGTCAACATCCATTTTACCCAAGTCAACCACCTCATCCCTTGACAAAATGGTAAGAATCTTCTAGTGGGGGGACTGCAACAAAAACTCTCATCATACCATTGCTAAGAGGAAGGTATGTCTACCAAAAAAACACGGAGGTTTGGGCTTCAGATCTTTTGACTCTAACGGATTGCCAAAGTTTATGGAGCAAACAGATCAAGTCCAGATATTTTCCTAACACCTTTATCTTCTTTACAAAAAAAAGGCAAATACAATTCACAATGGTGGCAACAAGCCCCAAGGATGGCACTTCTGCTAAGACCTAACTTACTGTGGTCTATCAAGGATGGTACGACAATATCTGCCTACCACTACCCTTGATTGCTACACTACCAGGACAGGTTCCATCACCAACCTCAACATCACAATCACAACGGCCTGAATTGAAAGTCTCAAAGCTAATAAATTCTGATGGATCTTGGAACCTCCCACAGCTTCAAGAATGTTTTCATGCTCTCATTATTTAACACATACTGGAAGTGACACCGGAGCCTAGCCAAACCAGTGACCTACTAGTTTGGAAGCACAATGCATCAGGCATCTATTCAGTCAAATCAGCATATCAACTTTTCTCATCTTTAGGGGTTTTAGTATCCTCCACATATTTTAATTGGAAATTACTGTGGTAGCTAAAAGTACCATACTGATTCCAAATTTTTCTTTGGAAAGTCCTCTGGGATGGTTTGCTCACAAAACAAAAGTGTTCGTCCTGGTTAAATGGACAGGACCGACTTTGCATTTTTTGCAAGCTTCAAGAAGAAACACTTCATCATTTTCTCTTTCAGTGCCCATTCGCACGAGCCATTTGGTTTGGTGCCCAGATTGGCTTAAACCCCTCTACCATAGGTCAGGACTTGATTCACACCATCATCATTAATTGGTTCACTGGAATGTGCTCAATATTGGATAAGTAGCAAACATTAACAAACCTAGGCAAATTTGCTTTGATCATCTGTCATATATGGTATGCAAGGAACAAGAAAATTTTCAAAAATATTGATCCAGATCCCATACAAGTGGTTAACTTAGCAATAACCATCCAATGGGAGCATCTGACAAATGAGGGCAGGCCATCACTCCATCAACTACCATCTTCTAGTCATTTGCCATGTTTATTTACTGTATGATCCAGCTTCAGGTGTTGCAGGATGAGGCTTCATCATCCAACATGGCACAGAAAGTTACACAATCATAGAAGGAGGACCTTCATGGGCACTCTCAAGCTATGACGCTGAAATTAGAGCCATGTTAAGTGGAGTACAAACGGTTCTCCCTCATGGTATTACTAGTCTTTTGGTATATACAAACAATGCAGCTTCAGTTGATTTTGCTAGAACTAATTGAGTTGCTCATTGGATTGAATAGCTACATAGAAGTCACTTGAAACGACTCATTAACTCCTTTAATTATATACACTTTGCACATATAGTAAGGCAACAAAACCAGGCAGCACATACTTCAGCTTATTTACCTTGTAAAGGACTAATCCGAGTTTGTTACAACTCGAGGCAATCTCCTCATGTAGCTTTCACTATATAAATATATATCTCATTCTCCTTTTGACAAAAAAAAATGAAAAAATTGGAAAATAAACATTTTGATCAAAAGTAATTGTATGGATATTTTGGACATTTTCATATATTGTTTTAGAAGATTCTAACAAAAGGGGTCTATTTGTAACTATGCCATAAAGTTCAGGGAGGTGATTGCAATTACCAAACTTCAGAAAAAGTTTCGGCAATTTACCAATAAAAAAGGGCAAATTATAGATAGCCACACTATAGTTAAGGGGTGATGAAACTTAGGCCCCAAATTTTGTTTTGCAACAGACCCCTCCCTGAATTTTCTGCTTTTAGCCTTTCTTCCATCCTCAGCATTCCAGCAATTAATTTTGTAATATATTCCTTTAAACATTTTTAAAAACCTAAATACCGAATTTGGATTTCCTCTTCACACCTACCTCACAGCAGTTGCAGTGGTGCATTGGAAATATCTCTTTCATGAATGAAAACATGCAAGTATGGAAGATCTTCCCAATATGCAGCTACAATGCCTATGACGTGGGTGTGAGGATTGAGGAAGAAATCTGAACTGTAAATTACTCATGAGGGCATTTTGCCTTTTTAACTTTAGGGGTGTTACCAATATAATGGTTTTTATTTTCAAAAAAAAAAAAAATTAACTGTAACCAAACAAAAAACATTAATTTTCATTTTTTTTAAACAAATCCAATCACATTAGGCAAATACTTAGGGTCCGCTTGAATTGTAGTCAGAATTAGAATTGCAATGTCTATTCGTCCTACTTATTTGGTTCAGGCTGGAATTGGAATCCAAATAAGAGTTTTATGAAATGGATTTTACCATTCTCTCAAATGAGGAAATGCCACTACACCATAAATGCAAATGAGATTTATAAATTTTGCCTAACCAAATGGTTGGACCATTATAATTCCAATTCCAGACCCTATGAACCAATAGACCCTTAATTGGTTTTTTTTAAGTCTTGTCTTTAACATGTTTCTCTCCATTTTTTTTTCAACAAAATTCGTTATGAGAACGTGTTGCTATTAGCTCATAGAATCTTGAATGGATAAATTGATAATTTTATTATATTATTAACCCGTTAGTGTTCAGGGGTAAAGTGCTGAGGTTCATAGGGATTTTGTCCCAAAATAAAGTTAGGGGGTTAAGTGTTATCAACCTCTAAATAAAGGTGGCTATTTATAATTTACCCAATTGAAAAAAAAAAACACGAAACATCAGAAAAAGAATACAGGTGGAGGCCATTTTCTGGCCGCATAGTGTTTTGGCTCCAGATGGAAAATGTCTTCTAGTGAATAAATTATTCTAGGCAGTAGGCACTAACCATTGGATTTATTTATTTGAGAAAAAATATTCATTTAACCATGGATGGATTCATCGTAAATGTACATTAGGCTGTGTTTGGTTGCAGTGCAAATTTATTTGCACTAGTACAAATGTGTGAAAGTGCAAACGCAAAAAATGTAAGTTCTAGTTTAATTTTATTTTGTATTTTACTTTATTATGTTTCATATCTTAATTTACTTCATTTTTATTGCAATCAAATCAAATAAACTAAAATTTGAAACGAAAATAAGTGAGAATTTATACTCAAATCATTTGTACTACTATGATTTTGTATCAGTACAAATTTATTTACATTGCAATCAAAAACAGATAGAAACTCTCATTTTTTTTTGTTGATTCCTAGGCACGCATCTTTTTTGGCATGTCTTCCAGTCTGTGGGAGGTTTAGAAGACAAAAAAAAGTTTTTTTTTTTTTTATCCTATTCCTTTGATATCACATAGATCGAAAGACACGCAAAACCAGGTGTAAGGAAAGATTGAAAAAGTTAAAATCAAACTGAGCCTAATAGCCCAATAGAACATTAACGCAAACCAAACAATTTTAATTTTTGAAGACTAAGACCCATTCTATTGGGCGGTTGAAAGATGTACCTAAAAAAATAAACTTGCCAAACAACCCTTATATTATTTTTTGGGTACCTCGTGTAAAATACGATTATTTTCTGATATTTCAAAATGGGTTGTGAATTGAAAGGGGAAAAATGGACAAGATTGAGTGATCCTGCCCGTCTCATCACGAATATCTATATATATACTGAGGCCCACAAA